TTTACACCTCAATCTATATTCCGACGACAAATAGGTACTATTATTATTATTAGAAACGAACCAGAAATTTCGTTTTCCGTTGAATTAGAGTAGGCTTTCAGGTTTAACCTTGGTCTGCGTTTTTTAAGGCGAATAGGGTAGATAATTACTAGCCTAGCGTTATATATGAAAAAAAAATTTTGAAAATATTTTCAACATATATTTCATTTGCAAAGATGAGATAGCTTAGTAAAATATCAATTTAATAAGCGCTTCAAATTGACAGAAGAAATGATACACTCATCTTGTTCATAATTTAATAATGAACGATAACATGATGAAGATACAGGGGTCATGACTATATCAAAATATCATTATAGAAATAATAAGATATACAACATTTCCATATAATCCAGCACTAATTGAACACTTGTTTTTCCCAATGATCATGATATTAAAGTATGTCTGCTCTCGATGAATTTATAGAGACAAAGATCGAGTTGATAAATCTTACGAATGTTTTCCTGCTACAAAGTATTTAATTATTGAGAAATCGTCGCTCAATGCATTATCCGATTATTTATAAGGTATAAAATATAAAATGTAAAGTACAGGATGAATCGATTACCCATGTATGTAATTAAAAAACGGTTACGTTTATACGTGACATTTATATTGCAAATCTCTAAAAAGGCACTTAAAATAGGTAACTACATTAAAATCAGTTTGATGGTAATTTCGATGAAAACAATCGTATACCGTGACATATTCCAAACGTAGCTAAGAACAGTGAGAAGGAAATCAGATCATCCAAAATATGGAAATTTTTCAAACTTCAATCGTGAATGGTTTATCGTGCAAGGTAACGCCGAAAGTTTGTTAGTGAAACTGGACGAAAGCTCAATCTGACAATACTAGCTCATTTCTTCTATCATATCTATTTTAGTTAGCCAAAGCAATAGAGGTTCACGATCAGCTGGTCTAGACGTCATAGAGGAAAAGTAAAAGTCGGAAGGTGGCAAAGGGGGGGGGGGGGGGGGTACCAGCGCGGAAGTGACTGCCACCGGAAGAATCACTTTTACTCTCGCCCGCAACACCGGCTGTTGTGTGTGCTGCAGCGCGGATATGATTCCCACATTCGCAGAAGCGATAAATTATGAGCCCAGCCATTTCATTACCTATTCTATGGTTAACGAGTGGTCATTAGTTGAGCTACAATATGTATTATGATGATGACTTACCCATTATAAGAGAAATAAAAAATAGAGAAACACATTTATGTATTTGAAAATTCATTAGAAAAAAATACAGGTAACCTTTGCTACTATTGTTAAAAAGACAACAATAACTAGGTACAAAATACGAGTTAAATTAACTAGATTCGGTAAAAGGTATAAAAGCTTCGTGTGCTTACATTATGCAAAATAATTAACTTCCCAGTTTTATTATGAATTCTATTAATTTATTTTATCGATGTCTATAAATAAATTTCATAACCATTACTTGAGTATACATAAAAAAAAAATAACAACAACTACCTAGTAATTTCTTCTCGAGAATGACAAACAGAGTACCTACGTAGAGTAGTTAAAAAAGGGGACTGTTAATAATAATCATAATAAAGATTGTAATGAATAAAACCGCGCAGTCATCGGCGTATGAAAGTAAAAGTGGTAGGTGGGTGGACACGGAAGAGCCGCACTGGCGCAGCGCAGCGCAGGGCGCGCGGCGGAGGGGGGGCGAGAAAGCCGCGAAAAGGTCGCCGCTTTTTTTCCAAATATTCCGAGTGAAAGTGCGGACACGTCCGAATTGATAAGCAAGGAATGGTCCGAACATCTCGCGCCCGCCTCTCTTATGCCTACTACCACGAGCTCGCTTTTCAATTTTGCAACTCCTACATCGTTTTAATAAATCACTACAAAACGAGTTTGTTTCAACTTTTACATATTATTTTCTTGACTCCACTGACCTTTTCTTTGTTAATTATGTCAGATGATTGAGGACTTTGTCCTCATGTGTTCAAAAGTGTTTCATTAAATTATTTGTCCGCGGAAATAGGTCTATGAAAAATTCAATATTCAAACACCTAAACAAAACATTATATACATATATTGTTGTCGCGGAAGTATATACATAGCGATAAAGAATCTCTTATGCCTAACAAATAAGTCTTTTTAATACCATGATTGTACTGTGAATAATACAGAGCTGCTATTTACTGAATTGTAAATAATACACTTAGAGGGAACTGTAGGCAATTCTCGTCTAAAAAATTCGATACAACGATAATACGGTAGTATTGTGTGTCGCAAATGCATTAATGTATTGAAAACGCATACTCGCTTAAAACTTGAGACGTCAAAAACATACTGATTTCGAGTCTGTTCGAGTGAAAAAACAAATCCTATTTGAAACAGAAACGATATTCAGTCTTTAAAGGCTCTTGATGATTACATTGAAACATAATTTTTAAATATTCAAAATTATCATGACTGGAATAAACAAAACATTAATTCCAAACAAATGCATTTTTCTAATTGGATATTATTATATTTTTGTTGCGTTACCTTAAGCGGATAAATCAAAGTTAGCCATTTCCATTCGAATGTCACTTTTGTCACTTATGGTGCAGAAGTGAAGAGATAAGGTCACGTTGCAACCCGGTGGTGATAAACACACGTCTTCGAATTTATTTTTAAACTGATATGTTTATAGTGTAATGTCAAGGTAGTTATAGCTAGATAATCGAAGAATTTGATGAAAATGCTTCTTTTGCCCGCGCGCAATACGATACTTGAACACGAGATGCTTTATGTAGAGAATGTGAAATGCAAAATGGGTATGATAATTATGTGATTATGATTATGGATCGTATTGCAGACATAGTTTATTATGCAACAGCGAAAATCTCTTATTATTTTCCTATGAAGATTACTGGACTATCGGAAGGGAATATGAACCGATAAGACGTATTTCATTGCATTATATTCGGTGGTGTGTACTCCAGTACATCGTCGGACTTAATTAGTGAAGCCACACAAGGATCTGATATAGAATTTAAAAGTATACTGTATTATGGGGTTTATATTCAACTGGATATTGACAAAAGTATTCTTACAAAAAGTGTATTAGCCAGGAAAAAATGGGAGTTAGGTGCACGTTACTGTTGGATTTTCTTCGTAGACTTTTAACACTTATATCTGAACTAATTGACTTTTCTCAACACATATCAGGCGTGAATTTATATATATATATAACACAAGTTTTAGCAGGAAAAATAAGTCCCGCTTAAAGTACTAAAAAAAATCATAACCCGGAAGAGATCAAAATATCAGTATTAACATAGAGTCGAGAGAATATACTTTTTAGAACAGATAAACTCGTCCAAAGCTTAGTTAATAAATTGGGTAGTAAATTTAAGTATTTTTTTTTCAGTGCATGTTCGCCGGTCGCTAAAAAAGTGCCTATTAAAGCGCTAAACGAGAAATATAATGTAGCAAAAAGTAACATAAAACAAACTTATTCTATTCACACACGCTCTATAACTGAGGATGAACAATACAATATTTATTCCTAATAGCAAAATTGTTAAAAAATTATGCCTCATAATAGTTAGAAGAAGAAGAAAAGGGAGTAATTGAATCGGTGTCTCAAAAGAGCGTTGATAATAAACTGGAAATAGTGATCTTTTAGGTTCCCAGATTTAGAAAGGCCACGCGGTGAAATGCACCCTGCTTCAGCGCACGGGCATATATAATCGCATTAATACGCGGAAGAGAATAACGAAAGAACCACAATGTCGAAGTTTTTATAATAGTCTGTAGATCGGATTTTGGTTTCTTGGAAGTCTTCCCCTCTCCCTGAATTAGAATGAGAAATCCGACAATTTTTCTTGGGAAACATGAATAGTGGTTTGTATACAGGATTATAAAGGTAATTTCCAAGACAGTGTCATTTATTCGTGCTCAACTTTATGTGTTCTTCGGGTTGAAGTTTCTACGTTTACATAAACGAAATTCTCGAAATTCTGCACTTTCAAAATTACTGTTTAAGCTTCCGATGAGCTGGTCGTAAAACAAGCGTCATTATCCGAATCCTTGACTTATACTTTAGCAAATAGAAGTTGCCGAAGCTACCTACTTCATGAGGAAACTCAATTGCTGGTGCAATGTAAATGGACTATGATTGCAGGATCTGCGTGCTGTCTGGAGTTAGGGCACACAAATTACCATGTCCATTCCCCGATCTATTTTTAGTTTGATAAAGTGCAGTTTTATAAGATGCTTAACCGGAGTTCTAGTTTGAGACCACAATTAGGACAATCCTTAAAATAACAATAGTACGGTACCAGCAACATTTCTAAGTTAAAACCGGTACTTATACGGTACTTAAATTCAATATAGTCGCAAGTTAGTTACTGAAGGTGGAATAATTATAATTTCAGATTGTCGCCGTAGTGTGGGCGATAGAAGTATCGTATGGCTTCCCTATGCTTCCAGCTAATCGGGTTTACGCCACGCGCTGACTTACATGTGTCCACACTAATCCCACAACGATGTCCGTACACCACACACACCTACGCGGAACGTCTAGCAAGCTCTTATCGACTCTACATCGATCCGACGCCGGTTTAATATATGATGTAGGTTAAGGGGTAGCTGATTCTAGTCAGGTCAAATCTTGATTGCGGAACACAATACAGTCGCGACGCTAACTCGTGAATAAAACATTTACCTATAAGTTAAAAATGAACAACTCCAAATGTTGTGACTTGCCAAAAAGCTGATCGCAATGTCGTCGGTACGGTAAGACAGACGCCGGCTCGGCATCGGGTCCCGCAGCGGGTGAAAGTTCCAAATCACCGAAACAAAGAGCTCTCGATGAACCGAAAAGTCGCGTCCGATATCGGGCGGCGCTCGCGCACTTTCTCTTTTTTTTCGCCGGCTCTCGCGGGCAGCATCCGACGCGGAGAAAGTGCGCGGGCGCTTCCTGGTGCGAGCGAGGGCAGGGGCGCCACTGACCGTTGACGAACACGTGTTGCCGCCAGATGTGGTATTGGTTCCAGCGGTCGTCCTCCTGTGCATGCGCGTGAGCGTGCGCGTGCTGCAGCTGCGGCAGCGAGGGCAGGGGCGGCGGCGGCGCCGGCGGCAGCAGCTGCGGCGGGGGCGCGGGCGGCCCGAGCGGCTGAAGGGGCTGGTGCTGGTACTCCATGGAAGTCACTGCTCACTCATGGCGCTCGCGAGGGCCCGCGGCGTGCGTGCGTGCGCGACGGCGGGCAGCGCGCGACTGCCGCACGCGCGCTCTTCCGCGCCCTCCTCCCGCTCCGCCCCTCTCTTGAGCGCTTTCCGCCGCTTCCTTCCTCGCGCGCTCGACATAGTTTTTAATTGGTGTGACATAATAGCCGCGATGCGCGATCACTCTCGCCGCCGATAACTGATTACTGGTCGCGCGTGTTACGTGTACGTACGAGTACAGGCGGCACGTGTCGCCCGCCGCATGTAAACAAAGCGTCTCAACACTGCCATGCAACCACATCAGTTCCATGCTAATTACTTAATAGTCCAACTTATTTGTAAAAAGTTGAAACATAATCAGCATTTTCTATATTCAAACTTGCATATCCGTAATACAAATGAAGGATGCAATTCCATTTTTATATTGGTCTTCTTATCAGATTATTCGGCTTGTTTGCAATGATCTCATCTTTTTTGAGTCCGTCTGTCCCGAACTTTTTTGTGAAACGCGTTGAAGTCTTTTACACTGTCAAATTATTGTATGTTAATAAAAATAATTTTAATCATATTACATCTTTTCTTTCGTTAACTTTTTTTAAACGTAAGGTTGTTATGCGACACAATGTATAAATATTCTATTAAAGCAATATTTTCGAGATATAGTTGGATGTTTCTTTAGCCATCACATGTGTTTATAAATAAACATTGATACGTTCCAAACTACATATGACTTAAGTGATAGTGGTGATAAATGCGTACTTTCTCTTGACTTTTTCTTTCTAAATCACAGACCAGCACCTCCCACGCTGTACGATAGTGAATTCCTCCATGGATACGAGCAAAGTGCAAAGATTTCATAAAAATATAAGTATTTCCAGCAAAGCTTTTTCAAATACGTTCGAAAGATTAATTCAGGGTAGATTTTAGTTAAAATTGTATTGTAGAAATATCACCAAATGCATTTCAACTCCTCCCATAATGGATTAAGTGTCCCATCGCGTGAAATGTTTCTAGAGTTGTACGGTTCATAGGATCAAATGATTACTTTTACGGCTGGGGTGGCATTATGTCCTTCTGTTGAAAGTCAATATTGAGAAAAAGAATATTTATAATTTTTATTATTTTATAGCATGTAACTGCTTGATGTTAAAATCAAAAGAAAATATAACTAGAAAAAATCCCACGCGGAGCAGGCAGCAGACGGGACTCGAACCCGCAGCCTTCGGCTTGATGCTCTAAAAACTTTACTTATTGACAGAATCTTAAATCCAGTAAAAGAGTAGAGTTTAAATCTAAAGAAAATATTACTAGAAAAAATTCCACGCGGACCAAGCAGCAGACGGAATTCGAACCCGCACCCTTCGCTAATGGGCTGGGCGAAAGCACTGACCGATTATACTACCGCAGCCCTGATGGCCATGTCTAATTCTTTCTAGCCTTTCTTAAGGTGCAAGGCAGCACCATCTCTTCACATTGTAGGTAACCCATAATAGTAGTCATCATCAGCCTATTAATGACCCCAATGCTGGGGCACAGTCCTTCCCTATGGATGGAATAGGAAGATTGGGCCGTGACCCACCACGCGGGCGACACCCTGAAACACGGCGAACATATCACTCGATCACAGAGGTTTAATGTGATTTTTTGGAACATATATTGTCGATGTTCAACTAGTTTCTAGTGTTGATCAACATTTGTTATCTAACCGACGCGGTGCGGCCAGATGGCGGTTGCCGCGCGGGCCGATAACGACAACAATGATGTTTTGCTACACCAGGTGCGTTATGACTCAAACGTATGCAGACTCCTCACCTCACATGAGCATAGTCGGGGAAAACCCAGGATTTGCCCAGGTGGGAGAACCGAACTATCTTTCAAAATGGTATTTCAATTAAATAAGACACGTCCGAAACGCCAATCACAACAAACAGTCCCGCATGTGACCAAAGAAGGAATTGACGTTTAGTTTGCGCTAAATTTAAATACAATCTTGATAGATGGTTCAACTCTCCCGCCTGGGCAAATCTCCCGATTTTCCCATACCAGTAAATGATGGTAGGGTGACAACTGACAGCACACTGCAGTGAACTTTGCAGTGAGCATAGTATAATAATATATTTTATTGGCAGACAGACCAGATCGATATGTTAGTATAGAATATAACTTATAACTGTTAGTAGCCTATAGTAAGTAATCACAAATTTAGAACATTTTATTTTGTTTCTCAATAGGTCATGTACCTTAGAGACACTCCGCGCGCGTGACACCAGGAAGACTATGAAACGGCTCCGCAAGGAGCAATCACAAAGTCGTTCTTCCAAACCATCGCCGAAATAACGGAATTTCGAACAGTTGTCAAACCTTCTTTTTCTGTCACAGAAATTCTCTCGGGCCACGGTTACCACAAGGCCTATCTGCACAAATATAAAATAACACCCGATGATTGTTGCCCATGTGATAACCACATTAAACAGGACATCACACACATCTTAAAAGATTGCCCTATATTCCACTGCACCAGAGCTGAATATGAAAATTACTGCGCATTATACAAAATTGAACCATACAACTTGCTGGAAACCATAAAGAGCGAAACAGCCACTTGAAAATTCATCAAACATGTCGACTCACTAGTTTCACAACTTAAGCGCATCAATGGTACCTAACTGAAACATCGACTAAAAGCATAAATACATAGCGGCAGTTTTGGATCTGTATCCAATTGCAGAATCAAAACTGACCATGATCACAATTTAAACGTTAACTTCAATATATAAATATATATATTTCATCATCATCATCAGCCTATTAATGTCCCCACTGCTGGGGCACAGGCTTCCCTATGGATGGAATAGGGAGATTGGGCCATGACCCACCACGCGGGCCCAGTGCGGGTTGGTGGGTGCTAACGACTGCAGATGCAGCCGGGACCAACGGCTTAACGTGCCTTCCGAAACACGGAGGAGCTCGAGATAGTAAATTATGGTCACCCATCCAATGACCGACCACTGCGAAAGTTGCTTAAATTCAACGATCGCTGCGGAACGCGCTAACCACTTGCGCCATCGAGCTCCTCTATATATTTGTTCCCTTATAAATATACAGAGAACCATATATTAAACATTACACATGACACCAGGAAGAATAATTAGCTTCTATTTCAGTCCTCATTCACACGGAGTGCCTCCAAAATGGTGCTACGGGTGCTGAAACGACTCTCAGAATGGTGTTGTTAATGCACTGCACTCTACACGATTTGTTTCCCGTGGTCCACCTCGTAGTCCACCCAGGTGTACCACGGGGATTATTTTTTCCCGTGGTCTACCCGCATAGCCATATGTTTCTAACAGTAAATTATGGATGTTCTTATGAACAAAAAAGCATTTAATTTTTTTTTAAAATCGCTTATATTTTAAAATCATTTAATTAGCGTAGTTTTTCTAAAGCTTTTCTAAAGTTAATTAACTGCATCTGAATATCTTTTATACAATCATTGTTTTCAATTAATTTGCGCCTTTTTGATTTTGCAACTCTTATTGTTCTCAAGACACTCAAGAGCCGTAATAAATTGAGGAATAGGCAGGTGGACCACGGATAATAAATATTTCCCGTAGTTCAACCAGGTGAACTGGTGAACTACGGGGGGGGGGGGGGGAATACCCGTGGTCCACCTGGGTGGACTACGAGGTGGACCACGGGAAACAAAGGCTCTACACATCAGTAACGCAACTTTTTTCCGCAAGACGGTATGGAAATCCGCAGTATAGGTGGCCGCAAATTTACCAATGACTTTGGTCTTTTGCATCTTAAATTGTTCTTTTGATTTGACTAGCTCGTTCGTTCTATATGATTTTGTACACAGGATAGGGACATAAATCAGCCGATGATGATGATAAACTTGTCATTATTACTCATTGTGCTCAGAGATGTTAAATGAACATAGGTGATGTTATTTCAAGTCACGTGTTGCGCTAAATTTAAATACAATCTTGATAGATGGTTCAACTCTCCCGCCTGGGCAAATCTCCCGATTTTCCCATACCAGTAAATGATGGTAGGGTGACAACTGACAGCACACTGCAGTGAACTTTGCAGTGAGCATAGTATAATAATATATTTTACTCTATTGTTATTATAGCAATGAAAGTGATAGCAGAAACATTGATCAAATTGAAAAGTTGATCACCGTCTCTGGGTACGATTGTCAGAACCTATTCCTTATTGAATGCAAATTAAAAATCGTTGCATTCAATAAGGAATTAATTGATCGCGGATCAATTATATACATTTTGAATTTAATTGTTCTGCATCCCAAGCATGAATTTTGACAGATCGTCAAAGTTTTAATGGGATCTAAGCAGGACCCTTACCGGACTTAAGAACAATGTAACATTTTCCATAGAAAGTTTGACGTTTCCGATATGAATATCAAACATCTGTCAACGTTCGTGTTTGTAGTACTGGCATCGTTCATGAAGATACAAATATGAGATCAGCTGTCACATTATATCTATCTCTTTGACATAACGACAATGACAATACGTACTTGCAAACGTTACGAATTCGATATTGATTCGAGCTAAGGCTTCTGAGTCAATTTGTACGAAAAAAAAGTTGGAGTGGTCTAGAGGCTCCAGACGGAGAGACTCCCCCCGTAGGGAAATGCCATCCACCCGGGATACCTCTAGAAGCACTCGCCAATCCTCGGCTTGAGGTCCCTTTAGGATCTCGCCGTCCCCAAACCCGGTGACACTGTAAAGGACATCAGCGACCATCAGCGTAAATACTCAAACAAAAAACGAAAAAAGTTATCGAGAAAAGTAGAACTACATCATACAGCCGTTCTTCTAACACACATAAAGAACGATATGAATTGAACATTTGCAAATACATAGATATATGTAGTAACATAATAGCATGAACAGAGCGACCATACCTACCTGTTAGATGCTCATAACAATCGCACCTATTACTTAAGACCCACGTGTTCAAACTGATGTGATAACATTATATACAGACCACTGATTATAATGGCATTGAATATAATGACAGGTGATATAATACAGGTTTCCATAAAAGAAAAATCAAGTTGTTTCTACCCAATAAGAGAGGTAAGGCATAGAGGATTTCCGCTCGAATCGAAGCGCTCGTTCGGGGAAGTAAGCTCTACTAACTCCAGTTTTGCCTCCGATTCCTCCCACACAGGCCACAAAAACCAACACTACACAGCTAGCAAACGTGCATACTAGCTCAGCATTAGGCAGACACCGCGCCAGTAGGATAAGAGTGCGAAGACCCGGTCTACACACG